CGGGCCACTTCGGCGGCGTATGAAAAGTTCTCTGCCTCGAAGAAGGGCAGCATTCATGATTTCACCATGGGGAAGGGTCCGACGGGGGGCTCGCCCTTTCCAACATTACTTGGGGCTGGGAATAACTACACAGTACTTGAAAAACGGCGTATTTGAGCTCCTGTTGCCCGCATGGAAATCCTTCCAGGCCAATTGGATGTTTCCGAAAACTCGGGAGACCCTGAATGGCTTGCAGAAGAAAGACCAAGAAGGACGCCATTTGTGGGTTGGATTCCCAATTCGCAACCGCATCCAAATCGAGTCGTACAAACAGTCGCCTGTGAGTCTCCGCTCGCAATTGTCCAAGGCGCCAAATCCACAGCCGCGCTGGGGCATGAAGCAGTAGCAGCAGGTAGATGAACTTCCAAGACATGTGCACTCGCCAGAACCTGAGCTTGATGCCACCAGCGATCGGCGATAGCATTCCGCCAAGGAACAGTTGCAAATGCCACCGAGGCCAAACTGAATACAATACCGGCAGCTACGTGGTCAAATTCACGCCCCTCAGCTCTCCGCGATGAGTGCGGGGAGCGAATCCCTTCAGGAGTTCAAACAGGCTTCAAGGGTTGAAACCTATTGATCAGCCGGTTTACAGTCCCAATGAATCCGTTAGCAACCCGAAATCTACGAGATATGCGCCCATTCGCGAGGGTTTGCCTGCCGACCAACATGTGCTTGTGAATGTAATGAACATCCTGCATAGCACGTGCATGCGAATCCATGCTTGAAATGTTCGAGCTCCCTTTTCCGAAAAGAAAAATCCCGAACGGGCGGCTTCCCAAGGCCCTTGTTGATTCCCTCCCAGACACCAGTGGCCATGGGGAAGCAAGGCACACATGTGGTAGTTGACTTCAAAGGGCCCGCCCCCTCCAAACAAAAGAAGAGCAAACAAGGAAGCAGCCCACTGGAGGTCTGAGGAGAACCAGTGTACCAATGGGAAACAAGCACACCTTTCGAGGGTTTCTCTTTCAACCCTTCCAAAAACTCGAACAACGGGGCGCCGATTTGTTTTCTCGGAACCAGAAACCGACATTTCTCCCACTCCGCTCTCGCTCTCGCGCGTGACTCGGCTCTGGGCTCCCGGCAAGTTGAAGCCCCCAAGCCGCCGCGTAAGGCAGTTGGTGCCGCGGCGGCTACAGGACATCGCCTCAGATTCTTCGCTTCCAAGCCAAAAAGAGCCCTGGAAAGAGGGGCGCCGGATCTCTGGGGCTATGGTCGGCCACGCAAAGTTCTTGCTAACCTCGGGTGGAATGAATATAGTAATAATAATAATAATAATAATAATAATAATAATAATAATAATAATAATAATAATAATAATAATAATAATAATACATATACATATATATATATATACATGTTCCCGGTCCCAGGTTCGCCCAGTACTACTCTGCAGGTGGCGGGGGAGGGGGGGACCATGACCATGGTGGGCAGACCTAGAACCAAGGAATATGCATATGATATCTATATATAATATTATGTGTTAGTATGGTCCATATCTACTAACCCTCGAAATGTAGAAGTATTTCAAACAAGATCCCAGCGATTCCCTTTTTGAAGGAGATGCTGTTCTCCCCAAATGGGGGTTCCCCCCAAAAATGGCACACCCGAGTAAAGGTTGTGGTTTCATCTTTCACAAACATGTGGAAGTGTACAGGTGCCTCTCCCCGAAGAAAAGCACACATCTCCAAGGGGCGTTTGAACTTCGATTCTTTGTTGGTGGGAGAGTACCCTAACATCTCCTCAACCAATCCTTTTGGTTGGCTTCTTCTACCCCCAAACCACCCGCTGGAAACGGAGTACACACCTTTTTAGTGGCTACACAGTGGATATGTATCCCATCAAACCCCTGGGTAGTGGTTTGCAGGGCGGAAACCGTAGAGAAGCTCACCGACTCGATTTGGATGTCCGAAGTGCTGTGAGAAGGATGGCCACCATCATGAAAGTGAGCACCAGGCCAGAGAGTACCGCGCAGCGATTTTGGAGATTGAACACCTGCACCCAGAAAAGGCCCATGTCAAAGAACACCCCCAAAAAAGCTGGATTTTCCTGTTGGAATCCCGTTGATCTAAGAGTACCCACAACAGAAGCAAACACCCATGTCTTCAACATCCCCAAAACCATGTAGATCATACCACAGGCTTGTCTGATGTTGAAAATCAAATCCCCCACGTTCTGACAAGCTCCAAGTGCTGGGTAAATCCTGTTGTTGCATTTTGGCAGACTGACATAGCCCCCCCCCCCGATTGAAGGTTTCCCATTTTCCCTTCCAAATCCCCAGAGGCAACAAGGTTTGCCCAGAAAACCCTGCCTATACAATGGTTACCTCTGATTAGTAAAGATCCCCAACCCCCCCTCCCCCGCCCCCCTTCAAGACAGAAAAGGTTTGGACAATCCGCTGATTAATCTGGAGCCCCTTTGGCCCCTTCCCAGCCAACTGAACTGGACACAGGAATCTGGAGAACCTCTTCGGTCCTTACCTTCTTGGCCCCTTCCGGGACATTGGCCTCCAAGATAGGCCTCCTTTTCGAGGCCCAACAAATGATATCCTTTTTGCTGCTCAAAAGCTTTGATGTCAATACATCGATCAACGTACAAACAAAAATGACAAACTTGCCATGAGTCCCCGGCTGAACATGCCCAACCATTTTTGGCTAAACCACCACTAGCTCCGAAATTGCCGTCTGCCCGCAGGAGTCTGAAGCTCCAACACACACATCGCACAAATGAAGCTGGCTGTACCCAATCGAACGGGGGGGAAATGGCACCTGGCTCGGTGGTACGCCTCAAAAACACAGCTGGGCGACTCAGCTTGTTACGTGGACATGCCGGAAACCTCTTGATTGCTGGTTTGCTTCTGCCCTTTGGCCAAAACACTAACGAAACACGTCTCTCTCTCTCTCTCTCTCTCTTGCTTGTCCTGAAGGGCTAGCCAGATTCGTTCATATGACCCAGGCTGATCTGAGTCTACCTGCAAAATTCGGGCACTCTTCATTGGGTGGAGCGGAAGCTATTATGCCCCAGGAAATTAAGTCATGGGAAATCAGTCTTTGGAGCGGACGCGTTGGCAAACCTGTCCCCCCCCCCGGAAAGTCGTTGCCACCAGGAACTGATCCGGGACCATGAGAGAAGGGCCTTAATGAGCGCCCGCAAGATTCATGAGCTCTGTACCAGTCATGCAAACGAAAGTGTCAGCTGTCTTCAATGGTTGGTTGACATGCAGGTTGAAAGATTGGAACCAGTGAGGTGCTGGTTTGAACATTGGAACCCTCTTTGTTGCTGGCATTCTTTTGATGTCAGCTCTGTGTTTCTCGCCTGGTGCCACAAGGACATACCGCTCGTCATCTCATCCTTCGAGAGCTTCATGAGATCCAATGGATCTCGCTGGATGGTAGGCGCATTGTGGATACTCAGGGCATGCACCTGAAGTCGGGCGTGCTGATGTCCAAAAGGGACACATTTCCAAAGATCGAGCAACTGAGCTTTGTTTGCCCTTCCAGCACCATCTGGGCGGCACTCAAAACGTCCTGTTCACGTCTAGGCCGCAAAAAAAATATTACGCCCAGCGTTGGGGTGTGGCGGGGGGTTGATATTCTGTCGCAGTACTTGTGGCTGCTTGTGCTGTTTTGTGGCTCGCTGTGGGTGGTGGCAGGCCATGGCTTGTTCGTGATGGTGGCCATTGGCCAATTATGAACACTGCGGACATGGGGTGGTTTTGTGAGGGTACCCCTTTTGGGTGGTTGTAAAGGAACACCTACGTAAGAGGAAACCACCCATTTTGGGAGTTCCTCTATTTTGAGACACACCCATGTTGGTGCCGCTCACTTGCTGTTGACTCTTGCTGGCAAGCGCCTGTCACCTCGGATGTGGTTTGCTCATGGCATCTCCCTTTGTGGCTTGTCTTTATTCAGGGGCCTGTCTTAAGGTTGGCCCTTGAACAAATAATCCAAAAGCGAACGAACCATTTTGGGGAGTCCTCAAGTTTGAGACAAACCCATTTCTGTGGGCGCAACTGCTAGTCCGTTTCTTGAATGGCTTACACGTTTGCCCGCGCGGCAATCGGTCAGCTGAGGGCGTGGCCACGTGCGCGGCAATGTGAATGGCTGCCCCAAGGAAGGTGAAGCCAGCGATGGTGATGTGGAAGTTGATAGGGTCCTGGCACAAACATAGGTATCCTTTTTGGAAAATAGATGGCGGAGCCAGGTAGGCAATTGAAGCCCCAGATTTCCCAGAGCCCTCTATTTTTGTTAACTAAACCAACCCAAAAGGACACACAGGGGCACTAACATGACCTGCCAATACGGACTCCCCGTCCGGATCTCAATATCGTCTCACTCCAAGAAATAAAGGGAAGATGAGTATGGGCTGCAGTGACGCACAGGTACCTGGTGCCGCCGCCCATTGCTCTGGCTTGGCGGTAGTGATCAATTTTTTAAGGGCAAAACAAATGTGGTCACCAGTTGGGGGGGGGGGCAGGCAAAAATCTTAGCGAACCTACGCGAACCCAAAGTACATAAGCGAACGTTTGCGAACCCGCTTCTCATTGCGAACATGGCGGGGATTGCGAACTGTCAAAGTCGTGCGCGAACGCAGGGAGCTTAGCTAGGCTGCCAGGGCTGCGCCGAGCCGGCGCCGCCTCTGGCAGGACCTTGCCAGGGCTGCGCCGGGCCGGCGCCGCCCTCGCACGAACCCTGGACTGGGTTTGCGAACCTTTGGATTTCCCAATTCAGTTTGCGAAGGTTTGCAAATTTCATTTCGGGTTTGCGAACCCGGCCAGGCATTTCAAACTTTGAGTCGAACCCCCAACAGATTTGCGAACCTGTGCGAATGGTCATGGCCTGCCCCCCCCTCAGTGGTGACCACATCCGTTTTGCCCATCAAAAGCCAAGCGTGGACCACCACTTACGTCAACATGATACACCAACCACTTCTGTCTCAAGCTGCTTAAAGTGGAACTCAATACCAGCAAACACCTGTCCAAGGGCCTTTTTGTCACAAACTGCCCAACATGCAAAGATGCTAGTGAGATTTGGCTGAAAGTTGTGTGCTTAATCAATAAGTGTCACTCTAGGGCAGGAAATAATCCATGCCGCTCAATTTGAGCTCTTGACTTGCACTTTTGCGCGCCAACTTAATCGTTCAATTGACAAAGAGACTATCGGGGGATCCCAATCCTAATTCACAATCTGTGATGGGATCCTACATCTGGCATAATATGCTTGTTTATTGCTTTTGAATAACCCAAAACACTGCTCTGAAAAAATCCCGCTGCGCATGAAGACGTTTGGACAAAACCTAGCGTTTGTACAAACATATGCTGGATTGATATTCAAACCTATTGACGGACAATGATATAATTGATCGATCAGCCTCTGCGGTTGTTGCCGTAGATGAGGGTGTTGGGAGTGGCTTCTCAGTCAGGAATGAGCAATGTCTCAAATCTACGCATACCTATGCCTTAGATACCTTTCTGGGTGTCCTGACCACTCTCAATCCATCTTCCAAGGCTGGGCATCCTGTTGCTGCCCTGTGACAAGGTTCAGCTCTGGAGATTGCGATCGTGTTGGTGCCTTCTTGAAACCGCGCTATCAAAAGGGGTTCGCGTGTTTTTTTTTTGCGTTGACATGACCCACGTGTTTAGAGGCTCGCAAACAGGCGGACATGGGAAAGTCAGGAATCTCGTGATGGAGCTCCACATTGACTCGCAAAAGTCTTTCAACATGACACACACACACACATGTGCTAGCTGGCTTGCCCGAGTTCAGTGTCCTTCAACCCTTGAATCGCTCAAAATGATTGCTTCCTCTGGCCTGACAAACATGGATTGGGGCAAAAAAGACGACATGTTCTCCGCAGGTTGCTAGCACTTCTTTGTTGTTGTGTTTTCCGGACTTTATTTCACCAAGTCCAATGGCACATGCTGCCAAGCGGCGTCAACTGGAATCCACTCGCGGGACGAGCTTGCTCGCCTGATCAAGGATGAGCAGCCTCTTGCTGCGAAGGTATAAGTCACTTCCATGTATATGTTTATATTATGTATATATATATATAATATTATATATATATATGTGTGTTGCATGTGTTCTGGATTTTTTGTCTGGTCCAGCAAAGTGCAAAAACTGAAATGGCAACCGATAAACCAAAAAGTATCAAACAGCCAAACACCACCTGCAGGTTGCTACTTCAAACGAACCAGAACAAACTCAAGGGCATTAGGGGGGAAAGCAGCATCAAATGGCAATGCAAAACAACTGAGCTGTTGGCAGGTAACAGCCGTGCTGCAGCAAAAGATGTGTGTGTGTGTATGTGCCGTGCCCGGGCATGGCAAAGCATGGCGTGGGTCGGTGTGCGATGAGGTTCGGTGGGTAGGTGTGTGTGTGTGTGTGTGAAGGATTCGGATGGATTCAGTTTGTGTTTGTTTTGCAATTTGTAGCATGTTCAAAGACCTCTTTTTTCATTAGCCAGGTGTGTGGCCAGGTTCATCGTGAATATCCGCAAGTACAGACCGGCGTTGAAGTGCCCAATGTGTCCTGGCAGTACCCCACTCAACTGCTCAGCCTTATTGAACGTTCAGCAAATGAGCAGCCTCCATTTTGTGTCGGGATTGATGAGTGGCAAATGATGAATTCATCCACTACATCAACTGTCCCTCATTCTCCCCGTGGCCTGGTGGCAGTCTGCAGACTCTTGAGGGTGGGAAGCACTAGCATGGCAAAGTTCAGGTCCATGGAGTAGCCCCCGCCCTGGCAAATGCGACTGGCTAAGGGCAGGTTTGCTGCGGGGAAGGAACTGCGGTGCCGGCATGTTTAGGCAAACCGGTTCCGCCAATCATCACGCTCCTAGTTGTAAGGTCTTCCCTGGGGGCAGCAAGTAGCCTTTTTGCAGTTGTGCGAGTTTTTAGGGGGAACCAGCCGGGACAAGTTCAAAAGAAAAGATGGCTGTGCATTTCATCGGGACCTTAAACGCTTAAACCCGCCCAAATAAGCCAAGCATTGCCATAACCAACTCTACAGAAATGCTCCCGCCTCCAACTTGACTTAAATGTGGGCTTGTGTGAAAATAGGAGAACCCTGCTTCAGTTTCCCTTTTTCCCTTTGGTTTCCCCTTTGAACCATCCCAAACAAGCTTGTTTGGTACCCGCCAACGGAGCCCCATTTCGGGACTCCGACCAGGCCTTGGCCAAGGGATAGGCCCAGGAGCCCTGGAAGCCCCCGCTGAGGTTGGACAGCACGCCGATGAGGAACACCGCCAGGTTCAGCAGGCCGTACCTCTCCAAACCCCCCCCGAACGTGGAGGTACAGACTCGCAGGGGTGTGACAGTAAAGCGGGACTGAACTGCATGCATGGTGTCATTCTAGAAATATACATATGTATAAAAAAATATGCATAAACACACACATAGTTGCTTCCTTTCAGGGACCTACCTTTGTTTGCGCTTTCCATGGTACTTGCGTTGTTCTTTACCCTTACAGGAACGCAACTTCGGCTGGTTGGAACCAGCCCCGGAATCAAACCGGATGAACTTCATTCATTCGGGGGGTACAGACTCAACATTGCAGGGAAAAACTTCTACTGAATCTTGAGCGGGCGAATGAAAGTTCATTCGCAAGAGTTAGAGTTAAACCGTCTAGTTCCGAATTTGGTCCTAGTCCTGGTTGAGCGATCCTTGGTTTTAGCGCGAGCTTGATCGTAGCTCTAGTTAAGAGATCGCTTAGTCCTTGTTGAGAGACCCTTGAATCTAGGCCTAGATTGGTCCTAGTCTACTGACACTACTAAGGGCATGATGATGTTCTTCTTAAAGATCAATTACAACACGAGCTAGAATTAAATTGTCTGGGCATAAAGGATTTCTATGGTTTCTTTTCTTTGAGTGTGCAATCCAGACTGATGGGAACCTGAAGGATTCGCACAATATCCAGTCAACAATGCCTCACCAACACTAAACTGTACAAGCCACATCAATCATAACAAGTTGGTGAGTTTTGCAATTGACCAAACATGCCCTTGCTGACCTTGGTGAAGGGTGATCCGGGGTGAGCATTGGGGCCACAAAAAGGAGAGTGTTCCTCCGGGATGTGCCGATCGCGCACAGGAAAGTGGTCAGCCGGTTCTCACCGAGGCCGCATCTCTTGCAGCCACGGTTGAAGCTTTGGACCCAGGTCAGCTTCTCCTAAGTTACACAGCCTGGAGGACCCGCGTTTTTTGTTCTTCTTTTTGGAAGTGAGGCCACATTGGACAAACAAAGTCCCCCTTTGGGAAGAGGACAAAAAAGGGTCGCCATCCGTGATTGAGCAAAGAAATCTGAACGCCCCGGATATCCGAAGGAAGGCCCTCGTTTGGTGCGTTTTACACCCAGGTTGGGGACGCCCAGTTTTGCACCCAAGTTGGCATCAGTCACTAGACAGACTCATTCGCGTTCTCCTCCCCCGACCTTCTGAGTGGGGCCAGAAAAGGTTGTAGCTTGGGCCTGTACTCAATTGAACGGGTTGGCCAAGCAAGTGCAAACTTCGACTTTGGTCTTCCCGGCCAAATAACAGTTCAGAAGGCCTGGGGAGCGAGGTTTCTGAAATAGAAACAAATCAACTCTTGTGTAACACATTAAATGTTTCTTGCACTCCCCACAGTTATATCCACGCCATCCCACGCCCTTTCCCGCTAAAGATGATTGGCTTCTTGTGATTTCTTTTCACACGCCAACCGAGACATCCCAAAATTGGCGAGCCCTCCGATTCACAGCTCCAGGGAAGCTAGGAGGCGACAGCAAGGGCCTGAAAGAAACTGTTTTGGAATTGGTGCTTTGCCATGTGACGAAAAGAGAACTTGGACATCCTCTCTTTGATTGCTGATGAGGGGCAAACCTGTTTTAGGGAAAGGAACCAGGGTAAGGGTACCTCGCTCAATTTTGGAGGGGCACTTTGCCCAAAAGGAGCACACATGTCAAAAGGACGCGCCACTCAGCTGCTGTCGGGCTTAGGACCATCTCACCGTAAAGCACTCGCAGCAAACAACTGCTCAAAGCCAAACAGGGGGTCTACTTAGGGGGGGGCCTTCTTCCAATATTGATCGAAATATGGCCTCCAGCTTGCTGAGCTTTACTATTGCTTACCTGGGCTTTCCTGCCAGGGCCTGGTTTGTTGGGGAGCCCCCTGTAGCTTTGCTTGAACCCTGCTTTCTTTGGTTTACCAGTCTACTCGTCACAACAGAATAACCGCGCCAATGCCCGTCACAAGCCCCGGAAGGAAAGTCAGGCCGAGCAACCAGGTGAAACATATTCAGGATCCAACTCTGCTTTCACGCAGGAAGTCAAGCGCAAGTCACGGCTGGTATTTGATGAAGCCAGCTGAGTCGCATGATTGTCGAACGACGCGTTTTATGTTGCCACGGCCTTTAACCTGCCTACTGATTTAGTCATGAAGAAAGCTGGCATCAAAGATCAAAGAGATCTACCCAAGCCATGTAATGAATGAGGGCCGCCGCACTTATTCATGGTTCGGGCTGTCCCCTATTAGTTTCCTTCGATCAAACATTTGTGCATGTTGTGGTCAAATGGATGCATTTCCTCATTTGCTCGGCCGGTGAAATTGCGCCCGTTTCAAAATGGTTGATTTCGTTGCGGTCTTAAAACCAACAAGCGGGTCCCCCAAAAAAGACAGGCCATATGCAAACCTGAGAGTCGTCCGGCATCGCCATGTCTGCTGCCTGGCGTGCGTGATTCAGGGTCATGATTTTGGATGGTTTTTGTTTGGGTTAAAGTGTTTCCCTTTCACCTACCACAGAACCGGGTTTTGGTTCGCAAAAAATCCCCATGTTGACGTCTGTGGCCGTGTTGTTCTCATCCGCTTCCAACTTGAAGTCCAGACTTGCTTCCTATAACTCCTACTGTGCTTTCTGGTTTGAGCAAGAGCAAGAAAGAGTGTGCAACCAAGGCTGACGATCCAAGTGTTGCAAGTCAGTCTTCTGC